TATATATATATATATATATATATATATATATATATATATATATATATATAGAGAGAGATATATGTATATATATATATAATATGTATATATATATACATATATATCTCTATATATATATATATATGGAAATTTTCAGGAAAATCTATTCAGCGGTTTTCGAGTCCATAAATTACAAACAAACATACAAACATTTTCCTCTTTTATATATATATATATATATATATATATATATATATATATATATATAAAAGAGGAAAATGTTTGTATGTTTGTTTGTAATTTATGGACTCGAAAACCGCTGAATAGATTTTCCTGAAAATTTCCATATATACAGCAACATTGCCTGAAAGTAACATAGGCTATATACATTTTTTAATTTCCACTTGAAACTGGAGATATAGCATCAGAATCGGAGGTACCTCCCAAAAATTTAGATTTTATATGCACATATATATTGATTGGTTGAAGATACAGTCTCCAAATTTGGAATACGTAATTTGGAACAAAAATGAGTTTGCCAAATTATATTGTGATCGGTTCAGATTTGGATATAGCTCCCATATACATTTTCGACCGATTTCGTTCATTTCACAATATGAATGTTCGATTCCAATGAAATTTGGAATGTGTGACGGGATTTAGTCCGAAAATATATTTGTCAAATTATATTGAAATCGGTTTAGATTTGGATATAGCTCCCATATATATTTTCGGACGATTTCAAGCATTTGATGCACCAAACACGCTATGTATCCCCAATTTCAATGAAATTTGAAACGTGTGATAGTTTTTATCTAAAAAATTGATTTCCCAAATTATATTGAAATCGGTTCAGATTTGGATATAGCTCCCACATACATTTTCGGCCGATTTCATGTATTTGGTGGACCAAACACGACATGTATTTCCAATTGTAATGAAATTTAAAATAAGTAACGGAATTGGGAGCCAAAATGAATTTGTCAAATTAAATTGAAATCGGTTCAGATTTGGATATAGCTCCCATATATATTTTCGACCGATTTCATGCATTTGATGCACCAAAGACGCTATGTATCTCTAATTTCAATGAAATTTGGAATGTGTAGCGGAAATTAAAACAAATATACATTTGTCAAATTATATTAAAATCGGTTCAGATTTGGATATAGCTCTCATATATATTTTCCGCCGATTTCACATATTTGATGCACAAAACACGATACGTATTTCCGATTCCAACGAAATTTGACATGAGTGGCTAAATTTGGTACAAAAATAAATTTGACAAATTATATTCAAATACGCTCAGATGTGATTATAGCTCCCAAATATATACTCAGCCGATTTCACATATTTGATGCACCCAAAGCGAGAGAGACAAAATCTGGCACCAGCAAAAATTGCCAAATTATATTGAAATCAGTCGAGGTTTGGATACAGCTAACATACATATTTCGGCCGTTTTCATACATATTATGCACCAAACACGATATATATGACCGATTCCAATGAAATTCAGAATGTGTGGCGGAATTTGGTTATAATAATAAATGTGATAAATTAATTGGAAATTAGTTAAGATTTGGATATAGCTCCCATATATATATTCTCGGCCGATTTCACATATTTGACGCACCAATTTCAATGAATTATGAAAGGTGTGGCGGAGTTTGGTGTAAAAGTAATTTTTTTAAAATTATATTTAAATCGGATTGGGATATGATTTTAATAAGAACCATTGACCTACAACGCCTTAGGCTAACACTAAAAAACAACACAACAATTTGTTTGAAATACGCTTATTACGGCGAAGTATGTTGCTATCTCGAATTCACTAATATCAATAGAAATGCCACTCTACTTAAAAAATTGCAGTTTCCTGCACGCTTGGTATTTGCTATGAAATAAATAAATCCAAAGGACAAACCCTTCGTGTATGCATGCCATGTTACTGCTTTTGTAATGATTTTGTTTATTAACGCATTAAATTAGTGCAATATTTTTTTTTTAATTTTTAAATTTGTTTTTCTTTATCCAACATATATTCGTAAATAAAATTTTTAATGCATATAAAATCAAAAGGGTTCAGCTAGTATATATATATATATATATATATATATATATATATATATATATATATATATATATATATATATATATAACAAATTTAAAATTAAAAAAAAATATTGCACTAATTTAATGCGTTAATAAACAAAATCATTACAAAAGCAGTAACATGGCATGCATACACGAAGGGTTTGTCCTTTGGATTTATTTATTTCATAGCAAATACCAAGCGTGCAGGAAGCTGCAATTTTTTTAAGTAGAGTGGCATTTCTATTGATATTAGTGAATTCGAGATAGCAACATACTTCGCCGTAATAAGCGTATTTCAAACAAATTGTTGTGTTGTTTTTTAGTGTTAGCCTAAGGCGTTGTAGGTCAATGGTTCTTATTAAAATCATATCCCAATCCGATTTAAATATAATTTTAAAAAAATTACTTTTACACCAAACTCCGCCACACCTTTCATAATTCATTGAAATTGGTGCGTCAAATATGTGAAATCGGCCGAGAATATATATATGGGAGCTATATCCAAATCTTAACTAATTTCCAATTAATTTATCACATTTATTATTATAACCAAATTCCGCCACACATTCTGAATTTCATTGGAATCGGTCATATATATCGTGTTTGGTGCATAATATGTATGAAAACGGCCGAAATATGTATGTTAGCTGTATCCAAACCTCGACTGATTTCAATATAATTTGGCAATTTTTGCTGGTGCCAGATTTTGTCTCTCTCGCTTTGGGTGCATCAAATATGTGAAATCGGCTGAGTATATATTTGGGAGCTATAATCACATCTGAGCGTATTTGAATATAATTTGTCAAATTTATTTTTGTACCAAATTTAGCCACTCATGCCGAATTTCGTTGGAATCGGAAATACGTATCGTGTTTTGTGCATCAAATATGTGAAATCGGCGGAAAATATATATGAGAGCTATATCCAAATCTGAACCGATTTTAATATAATTTGACAAATGTATATTTGTTTTAATTTCCGCTACACATTCCAAATTTCATTGAAATTAGAGATACATAGCGTCTTTGGTGCATCAAATGCATGAAATCGGTCGAAAATATATATGGGAGCTATATCCAAATCTGAACCGATTTCAATTTAATTTGACAAATTCATTTTGGCTCCCAATTCCGTTACTTATTTTAAATTTCATTACAATTGGAAATACATGTCGTGTTTGGTCCACCAAATACATGAAATCGGCCGAAAATGTATGTGGGAGCTATATCCAAATCTGAACCGATTTCAATATAATTTGGGAAATCAATTTTTTAGATAAAAACTATCACACGTTTCAAATTTCATTGAAATTGGGGATACATAGCGTGTTTGGTGCATCAAATGCTTGAAATCGTCCGAAAATATATATGGGAGCTATATCCAAATCTAAACCGATTTCAATATAATTTGACAAATATATTTTCGGACTAAATCCCGTCACACATTCCAAATTTCATTGGAATCGAACATTCATATTGTGAAATGAACGAAATCGGTCGAAAATGTATATGGGAGCTATATCCAAATCTGAACCGATCACAATATAATTTGGCAAACTCATTTTTGTTCCAAATTACGTATTCCAAATTTGGAGACTGTATCTTCAACCAATCAATATATATGTGCATATAAAATCTAAATTTTTGGGAGGTACCTCCGATTCTGATGCTATATCTCCAGTTTCAAGTGGAAATTAAAAAATGTATATAGCCTATGTTACTTTCAGGCAATGTTGCTGTATATATGGAAATTTTCAGGAAAATCTATTCAGCGGTTTTCGAGTCCATAAATTACAAACAACATACAAACATTTTCCTCTTTTATATATATATATATATATATATATATAATATATATATATATATATATATATATATATATATATATATATATATATATATATATATATATATAATATATATATATATATATATATATATATATATATATATATATATATATATCTATATATATATATATATATATATATATATATATTATATATAAAAGAGGAAAATGTTTGTATGTTTGTTTGTAATTTATGGACTCGAAAACCGCTGAATAGATTTTCCTGAAAATTTCCATATATATATATATATATAGAGATATATATGTATATATATATATACATATTATATATATATATACATATATATCTCTATATATATATATATATATATATATAGATATATATATATATATATATATATATATATGTATAAATCTACTTATATTTAAAAAGAAAAAAAATCTTAACAACAAATACGACGTGGACCTATATTGGCATTGTTGTCATAAGCCATTACCATATTCAAATTCGAAACTTGAAATAAACGGTGAATAATGTAGCTAAAATCATCAAAATCTGTACATAGGGAGGTACCGTTAAATCAGAGCTATACGAAGACCTGGACTTGCACAGACAATTTTCTGTTACAGATAAGGACGCTTATTCTGATAAGGACGGCTTTTAACGTTGAAATTAGGGGAAATGTTTCTTGTAAAAGAAATATATATATATATATATATATATATATATAAAAAATTTTGTACACACACTCTCTCTCTTTCTGCAATAGAGGGTAATATGCGGTTAAGCCAATTGGGAAATGCTTCAGACTTAAGCAATCAATTAATTGTTTTGAATAAATTAAGCTAAAAAAGTACCCGTGGAAAATTTCCAGCTTTAAAAGTACAAATTATGATTATTCTTTTAAAATAAATAATTTTTTGGCAAATATCTCTTCATATACATCCATATCTTTGAAAGTACTTACGTACTATCCCAGGTATATAATTTGTGTTTAATAATAATTGAAATCGATTTAACAATATCGCTTACGAACTAAGTGGTACTTGCCAATTACAAAAACACAGAACAGAAACATTACTTATAATTATATTGTCTGCAATTCTTTATTTCATTCATACATTTCTCAGCAAATGGGCATGATTTGCATTGGTTCCAGTTTTGCAATAAAATCACGAAGTAATATTAACATCCATTAGGAAGTTTATAATAATCAGTGCACTCTGTTCCGCTTATTCCAATAATGACGGCTTTTAACGTTGACATTAGGGGAAATGTTTCTTGTAAAAGTTTAAAGTTATCTGCATTTATTCTTCCAGCGATCCAACCTGTAGCCAAACTGTAAGCAATGACAATATTATATATATATATATAAAGTACCCTTGGAAAATTTCCAGCTTTAAAAGTACAAATTATACTTATTCTTTAAAAATAAATAATTTTTTGGCAAATATCTCTTCATATACATCTATAGCTTTTCCAGTACTTAGGTAATCTCTCAGGTATGTAATTTGTGTTTAACAATAATTGAAATCGATTTAACAATATCACTGGTACTTGCCATTTACAAAAACACAGAACAAAAACATTAATTATAGTTATATTATCTGCAATTCTTTATTTATATACCCTCATCCATAGTATGGATTGTATATTAAGTTTGTCATTCCGTTTGAAACACCTCGAAATATACATTTTAGACCCCAAAAGTATATATATTCTTGATCAGCATAAAATGCTATGTCGATTTATCAATGTCCGTCCGTCTGTTGTAATCACTCTAGCTTCCGAACGAAATGAAGTTGGTTAAATTAATATTTACAGTTCGTAATAGATACTACGGCTTAAGATAGAAAATGGGCCATGTAGGTTCACGTCTTCGTATAGCCCCATATAATGGTACCTTCCCATATTCGGTATTTTGTTAATTTTAGCGACATTATTTACAGGAATTGTTTCAAATTTGGTATTTTAAGTTCGTAATGGATACTACATACTAAGACTGAAAATGAGCCATGTAGGTCCAAGTCTTCGGATAGCCCCATATAACGGTACCTCCCAATATTGGGTAATTTGATGATTTTAGAGACATTAGAGACATTACAGCCTGTGACAGAAAATTGTCTGTGCAGGTTCACGTCTTCGTATAGGCCCCATATAACTGTACCCCCAATATTCGGTATTTTGGCGATTTTAGGTACAATACTCACTGAAATTGTTTGAGATGTCGTATTTGAAGTTCATAATGGATGCTGTAGTCTGTAACAGAAAATTGTCTGTGCAAGTCCATGTCTTCGTATAGCTGTGATTTAACGGTACCTCCCTATATACAGATTTTGATGATTTTAGCTACATTATTCACCGTTTATTTCAAGTTTCGAATTTGAATATGGTAATGGCTTATGACAACAATGCCAATATAGGTCCACGTCGTATAGACGTATCTATAAGATGGATGATAGTAATAATTCTGCCCGGCCGAACTTAATTTTTTTACTTGTTTTTAAAGTAATATGAATTATTTGTCATTGAAATTGCGCGTTGGAGACCCCATAATTTCCATATCTTTTATCATAGTATAATTCAAAGATTAAACAAATGTCCCGTTCCTTAAATCATATGATATACAAAACGTGATCAGTTTTTGCATAGATGGTTTCTTCCCAAATTAGCAACATTTGCCGAAATTAGTATGAAAATATGGTTAAAATGTAAGATATACTTGAAATCGGGTTGTATCCTTATCCGGGGGTTATGGCCCATATCATGAACTGAAAAAGTGATTTAAGGTATCGTGAAAGTTTAGGAAGAATTTCTGAATGAATAGAAATCCTTTTCCCTTTATATTCGGTATTTCACTAATTGCAGTCCCAATGAATTTTGCATATTGAGTTCTCATTGGACGGATTATTGTCATGTAATAGAAGTAGGTAGGTCCACGTGTTGAAATGGGGCTCATTTCGACAACGTTTTGTCGGTTATTTTTGCTTATTTAAATGTGTTCGCATCTTCCAGCTGAAGCACGATGTAGATCCTGAAGTTGAAAGCTAAATGCCAATTTCAGACATGAAAGATCGCCATTTAACATCTTATTGCGTACTATTTCATTTTTGATATTATTCATTCAGAATTCAAAACAATAAAAAATGTACAATTCTACATAGTTTTTAAATTGAAAAAATTTCACGCCCAAAGGATTTTTTCTTTTATATTTTTATTGTCATATTTTACGCAATTTGTTTTGCAAGATTCTATTCCGAAGTTGTATGAATTGTGCAAATTTTGGTTTCACCACATTAAATTATTTTGACATCATCTATTCAGTTCCGCCACTCCATAATTTTCGTCGCTTTCTACTACCCAAAAAGACTACAAATCATATAAGAATTCAAAAAAAAAAAATACTACAAATGTACATTCCGAAATAGTAAGTCTAAATGGAAAAAAATCATGCAAAATAAAACATTACTATTGTACACTTCAAAAGTCAAAATGAAAATTTTAAAATTTCACATTTTTACGCGATTTTTTTTTTTGGATTTTATCCTCTTCTGCCAAGAGACAATTCCGAATTTGTGTAAATCGTTGAAATCAGATCAGCGGTTCTTGAGTTATAAGCGTAGTAACTAGTAGTAACTAACACAACTTCCTTATATATATAGACAGATTAGAAGTATGCGTGGTCAGTTCCCTGGCGCCCAAATAAATTCCTAAGTTTGGAGGGAAAGTCAACAGTATCTCGTGTAATAATTTTCAAACCGATATCTTCATTATCTGGCAAATATAAAGATTTTAGATAAATCAAGATAGTGGGCGTAAAAGTAGGCGTGATCAATATTTTTTTTCTTTAAAAACATAACTCGGAGTATTGCGAACCTTTGTACAAAAAATTATGCAAATCGGTCCAGCCTTTTTCAACTGATTCCGTTACCAACAAACAACAATTGATTTTATATATATAGATATATATATATATATATATATATATATATATATATATATATATATATATATATATATACATGGAAATCTGAATATAATCTATATCTATAAAAGAGGAAAATGTTTGTATGTTTCTTTGTAATTTATGAACTTGAAAACCGCTGAACAGATTTCCATGTATACTACAACATCGCCTGAAACTAACATAGGCTATATACATTTTTGAAATTCCACTTGGAATCAGAACCGGAGGTACCTCCCAAAAATTTAAATTTTATATGAACACTAGCTGGACCGGTCCGCGTTGCCGGCCCGTAATTTTAGTCTTTAACGATATTGTAACATCCACATTGGAAAGGAGGGTATATTAACTTTTCATTCCATTTGTAACATCACTAAATGTTCGTTAAATATGCGTATATATATTCATAATCAGCATAAAACTCTAAGTCGATTTGTCCGTCTGTATGTCTGTTTGTTTAAATTACGATACAGCCCACAATATTTGACGTATAGCGTCAAAATTTAGCCGCAAAATTTTTATTGTGTATAGGATGGTTGGTATTGAAAATGATCTATCGGTTCACGTTTTGGTATAGTCCTCATAAAACGGTATCTCTCGAAATTCGGTATTTTGATGATTTTTGCCACATTTCTCCTCGGATTTGTCTAACGCATATAACGATACCTACCTATATTGGGTATGTTGATAATCCACACATTTACGCGTATAATTGTTTCAAATTTGGCATTTTAGAAGGTTTGATAGATGACAATCCTTGAAGTATATGCGGCGGTTATTTCCCATATCATGAACTGAAAAAGTGATTTAAGGTATCGTGAAAGTTTAGGAAGAATTTCTGAATGAATAGAAATCCTTTTCCCTTTATATTCGGTATTTCACTAATTGCAGTCCCAATGAATTTTGCATATTGAGTTCTCATTGGACGGATTATTGTCATGTGATAGAAGTAGGTAGGTCCACGTGTTGAAATGAGCCCCATAACGTTTTGTCGGTTATTTTTGCTAATTTAAATGTGTTCGCATCTTCCAGCTGAAGCACGATGTAGATCCTGGAGTTGAAAGCTAAATGCCAATTTCAGACATGCCATTTAACATCGCCATTTGACATCTTATTGCGTACTATTTCATTTTTGATATTATTCATTCAGAATTCAAAACAATAAAAAATGTACAATTCTATATAGTTTTTAAATTGAAAAAAATTTACGCCAAAAGGATTTTTTCTTTTATATTTTTATTGTCATATTTTACGCAATTTGTTTTGCAAGATTCCACTCCGAAGTTGTAGGAATTGTGAAAATCTGTCAAAACGTTCTTGAGTTATAAGCATAGTAACTAATAAACAAATTGGAAAAAAAATCTTCAACTTGTTATCTATATATATATAAAAATCAATTGTTGTTTGTTGGTAACGGAATCAGTTGAAAACGGCTGGACCGATTTGCATAATTTTTTGTACAAAGGATCGCAATACTCCGAGTTATGTTTTTAAAGAAAAAAAAATATTGATCACGCCTACTTTTACGCCCACTATCTTGATTTATCTAAAATCTTTATATTTGACAGATAATGAAGATATCGGTTTGAAAATTATTACACGAGATACTGTTGACTTTCCCTCCAAACTTAGGAATTTATTTGGGCGCCAGGGAACTGACCACGCATACTTCTAATCTGTCTATATATATAAGGAAGTTGTGTTAGTTACTACGCTTATAACTCAAGAACCGCTGATCTGATTTCAACGATTTAGACAAATTCGGAATTGTCTCTTGGCAGAAAAGGATAAAATCCAAAAAAAAAAAAAATCGCGTAAAAATGTGAAATTTTAAAATTTTCATTTTGACTTTTGAAGTGTACAATAGTAATGTTTTATTTTGCATAATTTTTTTTCCATTTAGACTTACTATTTCGGAATGTACATTTGTAGTGTTTTTTTTTTTTTTTTTTTTGAATTCTAATATGATTTGTAGTCTTTTTGGGTAGTAGAAAGCGACGAAAATTATGGAGTGGCGGAACTGAATAGATGTTGTCAAAATAATTTAACGTGGTGAAACCAAAATTTTCACAATTGATACAACTTCGGAATGGAATCTTGCAAAACAAATTGCGTAAAATATGACAATAAAAATATAAAAGAAAAAATCCTTTTGGCGTGAAATTTTTTCAATTTAAAAACTATATAGAATTGTACATTTTTTATTGTTTTGAATTCTGAATGAATGATATCAAAAATGAAATAGTACGCAATAAGATGTTAAATGGCGATCTTTCATGTCTGAAATTGGCATTTAGCTTTCAACTTCAGGATCGACATCGTGCTTCAGCTGGAAGATGCGAACACATTTAAATAAGCAAAAATAACCGACAAAA